AGCTGCTGGGTGGGGGTCAAAGGATGGAAGTGGGGAAGAAATGCTGGATTCCCACTAGGACAGTGAATACTGCTGTTTCATGTGTTTTGGGGAAGAAAATGTGGAGGCTCCTTGTAGAGAGGATCACGGTTATGTGGCCAGAGCTCAGGATCGGAATAACCAGAGTGATGGATTACAGTTAGAATGAGTTTCAGGGAGGGCTGCACAAAGGGGATCCCTCATGTCAGGGAGGCAGGTTTGTAAGTTTCCACTGCTTCCACACCCCCCTTCTCTTAAGCCTGTTCCTCCCCTCCCCCACTCCCAATTGGGACACTTCCCCTGCTATAACGGCCACAGAGATCTGGCAATCAAGCAATCTGCTGCTTCCTTTCCCTCCCCCATTCTGGGCCTGCCTGGGCCACACCCCAAGACCAAGCCCCACTGGGTACAAGCTGGGCTCCAGGGACCACAGACGGTGAACCCCCATGGGCTGTGCTCCCCATGGAAGCCAGGTCAGGCCAGTACTGGGAAAAGAGATTTTTGCCTATCCTAGTCAAAGCTTTCGGCTGCCATTGCTATCTAAAAAGATTCAGCATTGCAGTGTTGGCTGTGGGGTTTAGTCCAGACCGGGCTTCTGACCTGTCTATCGAGATCGCAGTAACAGGAACAGAAGCAAACAGACCAGGAGGCAGTGGTTGCACAGTCCCATTTGCCTAGCCCTATATTCAGCTTTTCTGTGGGGGAATCAAGAAGCTCAAGCTTCAGTATTTGGGGAGCAGGGGGCATCCTCAAGCTAAGGCACTCATGTACGACTATTGGAGAAGGAGTCACACAGAGCCAAAGAAGGGTTCAAAGGGTGGCCATGCTATGGAAGTTCAAAGGAGAATTCAGTCGCCTCATGGGACCATGAGACTTAAGCCAGGCCTTGAGTCAGGAAGATTTGAGAGGGGAGAGGGAACGGCAGCAGAGAGAAGAACAAAAGTTCAGGGGCAAGAATGATCCTGGCTTGTTTACACAAGACAGTGAAGACCCCTGGGGGTTGGAAACTCACATTGCAAGGTACCTGCTTTGTACACATATATTGCACATCAGCACACTTAATCCATGTAACAACCTTATAAAGTTGGTACTGTTACCTAGCTCATAGCACCAGGACTAGGATTTAATCCCAGGAGTGTCTGACTCCAAAACCCCTGACAGATTATGAAGAACTCTGAGCACCAAGACGAGGGACAGGCAAGATCTGAATTAAGTTGGGAACAGAAAGCCAGAACAAGTCATTGTCATTTGGCTAATACTATACCAATCTGCAAACAATTTATTTTCTAAACAAAAGTTCTTTTAAAAAAAAAAAGTGACCTAGTGAATAATTCAAAGTTGATTCCCCAACCCCTCTCCTTGTTTGACCTCCTGCAGCATTGACTGTCCCTTCTTCCTACGTGATACAGGCTAGACCTTACGTTTTAGCATGTGCCCTCCTTAAATGCGCTGTGGCAACTTACTTCACCCAGTTCAAGCCATGGATTTCAGAGAAAAGAGTTGTCCTGGGAGAGAATAAGGGTCTGAACTAGACCTGAGTAGGGAGGAGTGGACTGACACCACCACTCAGACATCTGCATGCTCAGTGTTTCCTGCCTCTTGGTGTGAAAGGCTTTGCTCTTGCCACCTCCTGTGTGCACAGCACTGCCCAGTTTCCCAAGCACATTCCTTCCCATGCTCAGGATCCTCACTGCTGTCCTTTGAGGCAGGGAGGGCTAGTTTTATCACACCTGTTGTGCAGATGAAGAAACTGAGGTTCCAGGAAGGGAAGTGACTTACTTGCTTAAGGTCATAAAGTCAGCCGGTAAAGGGTAACTTGGAGGCTGTGTGACACATTGAGGAAAACACCAGGCTTTGCATCACAAAACTGGGGTTTGTGTCCTAGCTCCCATGCTAACTGGCTGTGTGACATAGGGCTTCTTTAACTGCTCTGCATTTGTTTCCTTATCTGTAAATAGGAATAGTACTGTTAGGTTGTTATAAGGATCAAATAACATAATACCATGTGATCTATACAGGGTTGTACCATGTGAGGGCTTTTAATCAAAGGGCAGAGTCAGCAGGTGAATGCAGGTCAGATTCAGGTGTCCAGTGCTCTTGGCCCTATAAAACACTGCCTCTGCCCTGCTTGTTTCTGGACACCACCTCACTCATGATCCTTTTCCGGTGTCAGTCCCTGTTCCCTTGCCAGCCCGGAAGCTACCCTCTCCCTCCCTGCTCCTTTGAGGGCTGATTTACTGATTGCTGGTTGATAACCCCTCCCTAGAAAGCTGCCTGGAGCCAGCTGTACTTCCAGTCTCTTGGGCCTTGTGACTGCCGGCCAGAGTTCCCTCCTTGCCTTCCTGCCTGGGCCAGCCCCGTGCTGGGCTTGAGGGGGAAGGGTTCAAGGTCACACTACCATGCCCACTCCCCTGCTTTGTGTGGAAGTGCTGAGGTCTCCCAGCTAATACAGTGGACAAGAGTAATGGCACCAACACCCTCACCCCAAGATGCTCTCTCTTCTCCCCAAGGAAGAAGCCACAGAATCCTGAGAAGATGAAGGCGCCCTGACTTGCCCCCGTGTACCTAGGTGTTGTGTATTTCCTGACTGACTTGGCCCTCCCACTCCACCCCCTGTTCCTGAGGGCCTTTTCTTTTCCCATCATCCTGTCCGCTGCTCCCAGGGCTCTTAATATCTCATTTCATCCACTTAGTACCCTTGCACAGGCTTTTTTCTCTCCTTTTCATGGATTGGGAAACTGGGGTCCAGAGAGGGTAAGTGCCTCATGCCTGGTTACGGTGAGTCAGCAAGAGAGCAGAGCTGGGGCTCAGACTTAGGTTAGGTCCCTTGACTTCTAGTCTAAAGTTCTCTCCACTGCCCTAGAGGGTCCTTACTGTCTTATTGGACCCATACCCTGAGGCCCTCTATCCTCTTTCCAGAGGTTGAACACACACACTTATTTATACAAGTAAGATGGAAGTATTTTTTAATATGAACCAGAGAGGCAACCTCATAGAATGAACCCCTTTCCCTCCCAGCTGGTCCCCAGGGAAGTTGGGGCCTGGGAGGGAGCTGGGACCAAGCCATGGGTCCTATGCAGATTCCATACCACCAGAGTTCCTTTTCCCCTTTCCAATGGTGGATTCCCCTTTCTCCTCCAAATTTGATTTTTGAGGCTTTGGAACCAAATGTTGAGAGGTCAGGCTGGGGGCGGGGGTGAGGGATTATCAGACCAGGGTGCAGTCTTGCCATGTATGAAGTAAAGTGGGGAAAATGGGCCAGTGGTGATGGTGCTTGGGTGGAGCAGGCAATACTTAAGAGATCTGGGTGTGTCTAAAACAGGGCTGTCCCCCTTCCAGGGAGCAGTGACCTGGTTGTGAGAGAGTCAGGGAAAGGAAGTCACATACTAGCCAGAAAAAGTCCCCCATGGCTGAGGGGAAGTAGCCAATTAGGAAGACCCTTGCCACGGCAGTATAAATAATCATAGGGTTTCCAGAAGCTCTGTTCTGTTCCAGAACTCGGAAGAGCAGTTCCTCACCCCGAGGCCCTCTGAGCTGCAGAGGGGACCAGGATGATGGCTGGAGGGGGGACTCCTCTCAAACTTACCCCACAGATAATTACAGCAGCCAGTTCATTTGGTACTTCCTATGTGCCACACCTCACACCAAACACTCTTTACATGTTAGCTCATTTCATGATCTGACCAATTCTAACCCAATAGGCAAGATTATCCCCATCTCACAGATGAGAACATCTGAGGCTCAGGAAACTTAAATATGTTGCCTGAGATCATACATGACTAGTTGACTAGAATCCCTGGCTAGTCTGATTCCAGCATGTGTTCTTAGTGATAGTGCTTTAATGGCACTGTGTTCTCTACCCAAGAGTCTGGAAGCCCCTCAAATTCTTCAGAGGCACAGGCCACGGTCTCAGGAAAGGGACAAAAGATTGAGGGGGAAACCAAGGTTTTTTTCTCACTCTTTTGTTCAACCCTCTTGGCTGGGTTTAGAGGATCTGCCTTACACCACCTCGAGAGAAGGTGCGGACATCTGTGAGCCACAGCTTCTGCCTGGTTCATTATTACACAGCCAGATTCCAGACCAAATCCCAGCCCTGGCTTGATCTCCAGTGTTCTCCTGCACTGAGTTGCCAGCCTGGATATGTGTGGCCAGATAGGGTTTCCCACGCTTCCAAAACTGATGGGGTACATTCTCCCACCTCTTCCCCATCCCCAGGGCTCCTGGATTGAGATAGGGCAGCTGTCTGGAGAATTGTGCTCCTCACTCCGCAGGTTTCTCATTGAACCTTTTGGTTTGTGCTCAGTAGCCAAGATGTCAGGTTTGGAGTTGAAACAGTGCATTAGGCAGGGTAGGCCCTGAGTTGGGAGAGGATCCATCCATGGCTGCATCTCAGAGTGACCTGGGACAGCTGCCCTGTGCCAGAAGCCTGCCCCAGTCTACTTGGTGGGAGAGGTCCACATCTGATAGAGGATCTGGCAGATCCCTATACTTGTGCACCCTCCTTTTGTGTCAATACTTCCTGGAGAAAAAATAAAAGTAGCTGATACTTATTGAATGCCTATTATGACTAGGCACTGCTCTAAATGCTTTATGTGTGTTAACTTATGTAATCCTCATAATAACCCAATAAAGTAGGTATTATTTTATCCCCATTTTATAGATTAGAAAAATGTGGCATAGAGAGGTTAAGTAATTTGCTCAGAGTCGTACACTAGGAGATAGCAAAACCAGATTTTGATCTTAGTCTGGCATCAGAACTTACGTGCTTCACATAATATATTACACATTATAGTGCCAGCCTCCTTATCCCTGAGCATCTTTGCTTGGTCTCAGGGCCTCTCTCTCATTGTGTGTCTGTCTCTCTGAGGTCTGTCTTGATGGGACTGCAGGATGGTGGCAGGTTAAGAGTACTGGAGCTGGTTTCCCTCTGTAGGCCCCATCCTTTCTTCCTAACCAAGAGTGTCCCTCTCATCTGTCCACAGGTAACTGAATCCAGAGGGGTCCAGAAGGGGAAGGAGGCATTGCCTCCGCCACAGCAGCTTCACCCACGATGCAGAGCATCAAGTGTGTGGTGGTGGGCGATGGGGCTGTGGGCAAGACGTGCCTGCTCATCTGCTACACAACCAATGCCTTCCCCAAGGAGTACATCCCCACAGTGTTCGACAATTACAGCGCCCAGAGTGCAGTTGACGGGCGCACGGTGAACCTGAACCTGTGGGACACAGCGGGCCAGGAGGAGTACGACCGCCTCCGCACACTCTCCTACCCTCAGACCAATGTCTTCGTCATCTGCTTCTCCATTGCCAGTCCGCCCTCCTATGAGAATGTGCGGCACAAGTGGCATCCAGAGGTGTGCCACCACTGCCCCGACGTGCCCATCCTCCTGGTGGGCACCAAGAAGGACCTGAGATCCCAGCCTGACACCCTCCGGCGCCTCAAGGAGCAGGGCCAAGCGCCCATCACACCGCAGCAGGGCCAGGCGCTGGCCAAGCAGATCCACGCTGTGCGCTACCTCGAGTGCTCGGCCCTGCAGCAGGACGGCGTCAAGGAAGTGTTTGCGGAGGCTGTCCGGGCTGTGCTCAACCCTACGCCAGTCAAGCGTGGGCGGTCCTGCGTCCTCTTGTGACCCTGGCACTCAGCTTGGAGGCTGCCCCTGCCCCCCCACCAGTTGTGCCTTTGTGCCTTGGCGCCTTGTCTGCCCCCAGCTGTGCCTTAAGGACTAATTCTGGCACCCCTTGCCAGGGGGCTCCTCGAATGCCTTTCTCTCCTTAAGGAGGCCCACAGGGAAAGAGGCTTTGGGCCCTGCCCTACTCTGCTTGGGAACACCAGGTATTCTCGAGAGCTCACCCAGGCCAAGGTTGGAACCCTCCCCAAGAAGCCAACCCAGTGCCTCCTCCCCACTTTCCCCTACTGACCAGTTGATCCAGCTTTCCACACAGATGTTGCTGGCTATTATGGTGCCTTCTCTCAGGTTAGGAGCTCTCAGCCATCCCTAACCTCTCCCTCGCTGCTCTTCAAATTGCTCCCCCCTCAAGATGCTCTCTCCCTTCCCCAAAGAAGGAGCCACAGAATCCTAAGATGAATGTGCCCTAACCTACCCCTATGTGCCCAGGCCTTATGCATCCGCTGACTGACTCAGCCCTCCTGGGGGGCCTTTCCCACCCCCATCAGCATCAATAAAACCTCCTGTCTCCAGTGGCCCTGCCTCCTCCCTGTGTGTTGGGCATTGGGGGTTGGGTAGGGGCAGGGCATGGGCTAGGGCTCCCCAGAGACTGGGCGCCTTTTGTTTCCTGCAAGAGGGGACAGGAGACAATAGGCTTCATTGTGGTCCCCCCACCCCCCAATTTCCCTAACAAAGCTCTGGGCTCCCTTGGAGGGGCCAGTCTTGTTCTGGGGCCCAGTGACAGAGTCTGTAGTACACTGGGATGCAAAGTATGAGGGAAAACTTCCTGATATAGGGCCCAGAAAGGGAGAGGTTGAAAGCCATCAGCCTGCAGACAGGTGCTCTCACAGTCACACATCCGAGAGCTGACCCTTATACTCCCAAGGGGACAAATCTTTACTGACAGAGTCAGGGCTGGAACTCAGGGCTTTGTTTCAACCTAAGACTTCCCCAGGTATCCCAGCTTCCAGGCCTGGAGTCATTACAGGAATAACTCAGTCACTCCTGCTCATCAAAACTTGAGGCTTGGGCCAGTCTTAGGTGACTATTGGCCTAAGGGGGGTGGGAGGATGCCACAGGGATCATACCGTGCCATGGACTTCCCTCCATCCTGGAGCCTGTCCCTCACCTCACTTCCATTAAACAGACACAAGCCTCAAAACAAGAAAGCCTAGCCCAGACTGTTGGCAAAAAAAAAAAAAAAAAAAAAAGAATTTATTGTCCTTTGAAATAAAAGGTACAATCAAAAGACCTCAGGGCCTTAGGCAGTAGGGTGGATTGGAAGGACACCAGAGAGCCCACTTTGGGGTAGAAGTCTGTGCCTCTGACCCCTTACCCAACACCTTTGCCAAGGAGAAAGAGTCTATAAGTCAGAGGTTTCAGAAGGGATGGGAAATAATACACAAGCCAGTGCTTTTTCTGGAGCTGGTCATTCTTCAGGTACAGAACAGCACCTCCACAGGGATAAGCACAGACTGGCAGAGCCACTGGATTATACAGCCCGCCCACCCTGGCATCATCCACACAGACACACGGAGGCGCAGATGGGGAAGGGTGTACACCATATCAGAGGTGAAGTCAGGACCAGGATACCTGGGCAACCTTAGCAGGGGACTGTGGTCATAGGCCTGGATGTGCAGAGTAGATCATGAGACACATTAGTCAAGTGAATGACCCCGTGGGGAGAAATGGCTGTGGTTTTCTGGTAGCAGCCACTGCTCAGTGGTCCCTGACCTCAGCAAGAGGTGGCTCTGTAAAGGCAAAGAACCAGATGGTGGTTATGAACCTCAGGACTTTTTTTTAAGCACCAGGTGGTGGAGCTCTCCTGCCAGCTCAGCTTCTTGCATCTCAAATAAGGGTGATGCTGCTTGAAGGTCCCTGTACCTTCCAGTGGGGTAGGGGGAAGGAGAAGCCAGCAGGGCTGGGTAAAGCCTTGTCCTGTGTCCTTCCTCCCTTCTTCCCTTCTCCCCAGCTTCAGTAGGGCCCAGAGAGGACACGGGGTGGGGAAGGCCAGAGTGGTATTTTGTTTCTCCTTTCTGGGCAGTGGGCCTCCTCCCCAGCAGGAGAGAAGGGTTTAGAACCGTTTTTCCTCAGGCTGGGAGGTAATGAGCAGCTCCTTGTTCCCAAAGTCCCACCAGGCCGTCATGTGGAATGCCATGTTGGTTAGGACAACGGTGTACTCCAGGATGGCAAAAATGGTGTATACTGTTGTGAGGACACAAGGAACAAGGTATGGTAAGCCTCCTTCCCCACCCGCCAGGGACCTCTTGAGAAATCACCACCACCGCATCACCACACAGGGAACACAATGGCAGGCAGTCCCCAAGATCACTGCTATGTTGCACATTATACAAAATATCACCTCTGTCCTATAGCCACTGTGACCACCTATGGATCCTAGCCTGGCCTCACCTCCAGCCTCACAGTACATGTTGTGCCGAAAGTAAACAGCCAGCGCGGTGAAGAAGGAGATGAAGTTGATGATGAAGAGCCGCTGTTTCCAGTTGTAGGACTTGCGATCCTAGGGGAAGGGCTCGTGATCAGACATTCTACAGCTTATTGGATAGGTGTGGACTGCCTCCTGTCTTAGCCCCAGCTCCTAAGGGCTGTCTTACCTCCCTCGCTCATGGAAGGAGGGCACAGGCAGGGGCAGCAGGAATGATGGGCATTTCACTTCCCTGCATTTGGGGGTATAATGAGGCCAAGGAGCAGTGGGGTCCCTGTCCCTCCCACTTTGGGGGAATGGAGTATGAAAGTTACTTGGAGTTACTCACCAACCCAAGACCTCCAGATACTGCGGGGAGAAGAAAGGTGTGTGTGTGTGGGCGGGGGACATGGGAGTTATTACCCCTGACACAGTGTTCCTAACCCACTGCAGCTTGGGTGCTGCCCCTCACTCTACCTCCATCTGGAGTCTCCTCCCTTCTATTCTCCAGTCCCCATACTACCCAACACAGCCCTAGATTCTGATCAATCACCCTCCACTTGTCCCCAAGCCCAGCCCCTGCCCAAGTTCCCATGAGAATTCCAGTTTCCACCTCACCATTACTGGCAACCCGAGGACAAATGTCCTTCATTTTCCTCTGGGCAGCCTGGAGCCCCACTAGGGGTAGACCGTACCTCCTGACTTACTGTGTGCTTCTTGGTCAGCCGCCAGAGAATGCAGGTGAGCAGCATGTGACCGAGGGATGAGGCAATGAACACAATGAAAGCATTTTCATGGATGGCTGGAGGGAGAAAGGAAGGTTGGGAGCTTGCATTGCAAGGAGTACTGAAAGCCCTGTGTCAGAAGATGGTGGGGGGGTGGGGTGGGGGGTCCCTCCCCGGAACCCTTCCC